TAAAGCTAGGACGTGCTAGAAAGGAAAAAAATGAAACTAAATAAGTCAATTCCATGGTTTATGAATTCAATACCAATTAAGATCTTAGATTGTCTAAAAAATTTATGTGCCTCTTCGGGTTAAAAGATTAATGCAGCCAAAACTCGTATTTTCTGTTCAAAGAATCTTTCTCAAGCACAACTTAAGATATCATCAAGAAGAGTCATTTTTCACTTACCCAAAATTTTAGCAATTATCTTAGGGTTTCTCTGCTGCATACACATGTTATAAAGAACGATGATAAAAAAATAATATAAGCCAAAAAATAACCCAAATTAGCTCAAATTAAAAAAAAATTATTTTCCAACTATTTAAAAAAATAAAAGAAAGAAAAAACGTACATGATGGTTCGAATGAGGGAAACTAGAACTAGATTTATAAATGCTTTGAAAGCTTGACTTTTTTCTTTTTGGCCTGAAATCTAGATGCTTTTTTTACTGAAATAGTGAAAGGGAATGGAGGAAGAAATGAAGTGAACAAAGAAATGAGGTGGAGGGTGTGGTTGTGTGAAAAGATCGGGCAAGAGGCAGAACTATAGAAGGAAATGATAAACCTTAAAAAAAATTACTTATATATATTAAGGGTATTTTTGTAAATATCTCAGGTCAAGTTTCATATAAACCCGACCTCAACCCGAAGCTGCATTTCAAAAAAAATAAAATTGACCTAACCCGACCCGACTCAAAACCTATTTTTTCAAAAAAAAATCTGACCCTAGATGATCGGGTCGAGTCGGAACCTGATGATTTTGGGTTGATTTGTTGTCTTATTCACGACTTATAATATATGGGTTTCATAAAAAATTTTAATAGATCCCATATAATTTTAAATTGTGATTGATTAATTGTACTACAATTATTATAGGTGATATGCTCCCATGCCAACAACTTCATTAGCTTTTTTTATTTAATTAATTTAATTAAAAATACATAAAATTAAAAGAAAAAATTAAAATTAAAAATAAATAAATAAGGTTATTGGGCACTACGTGAACATTTTAATTTAACTTAAAATGTTAATCTTTTAAATTAATGTATCAAATAATAACTTTACTATCAAAAAATGGAAAAAATAATAAAAAATTAGAAAAATAAGGAAACCATTGGGATGCCACGTGGGCATTCAAATTTAGCTTAAAATGTTAATATCTTAAATTAAGTTATCAAATAATAACTTTATTAATATAATACATATATAAGTGTAAAATTAAATAGATAATAAAATATATAATTTTATATATACCACGAGTTAACTTGAAGCAGAGCATCTTAAATCCATTTCTAATTCATCTCTTTTTTTTTTTTTTTGTATTTCTGTCTATCTTTTTTTTTCTACTTTCGAATTCTTCCTCCATAACTTGGGAAAGAAGTTAGGTAAAGCGCATAGTGGTAGAAAAGAATATAATTGCTTCGTTGTTTAAGCCAAGCTAAGAATGAGAAATATCACTTTTGACATTGAGTTTGAACATGACGAAGCATGAAGGAGGAGTTTTCGACCTAGCGTAGGTATTCGTATTACGTAAGGGTTCGCCTCTTGAGGAAGCCCCAGCTTATTAAGAAAAGTAAGTAGGGAGGTGAAGCTAGGATAAGTGATCTGGAAGTCTTCCGTTCGGGTCTTCTCCAGTGGGTGGGATAAGGGAAATAGGCGCTAAGAGTCGTCCTTCTTAGCGAGGAAGCAAGTGAAAGCTTTGGTCCTACCTGGTTTTTTCACAATACCCTAATCTTCGTAATCGGATCTAAAATCTAAAATTGCAATCAATTAAGTGTATGAAACGATTTTCTCTTCTGCAGATGAAAGAGCTTCCGCTTAATCTTATGTCGCCACCCTAGCTAAAATGTTAAAAAAGATTGACCTAATTGAACTTAATATTGTTTTTTTTTAAAAAACACCATATTGGATTGATTAAAACTCATTGGATACTGATTTGTTTTATCATCTTTATCAACCGGTTTATTTATTATAAAATTTATGTACTAAAAAAATACGAAAGAGAAAAAGAAAATAGGGTTGATACGTGTGCACCTCCATTCAAGAAAATACAAAAGGAAAAAATAAATGAGGTACTACGTGTACATTTTTATTGATATTATTTTCTCATAAAAATTATTTAAGTAAAAAAATAAAGATAAAAAAGTAAAATAACAAAGAAATAAATATTTTTAATCAATAATATCAAATGAGTCAAACCATAAATCTAAAAAAATTCATTTATTAAATATGGAAAGAAAAAAAGGAAAATAGTATAAAAAATAAAAAGAGAAGAAAACGACAAAAATGAAAAAAAAAAAAAAAGTAAAAAGGTGCAATTCGGGGAGGTCAAAATATTCAAAATTTATATTATGGATAATAAAATATATACTTTATCTATAACTTGAGGTGAGTTGTGACAAAACATCATTAATCCATCACTAATTAGAATCATTTTTAGTAAAATTTTGACAAAATTTTTATCATTAAATAACTACAAATCAAATTTAAATTTTAAAAATCGTTTCTAAAAATTTTTTACTTATTATTAACCAATTGGATCTATCAATTTAGATTTTAAATGAAGTTTTAATGGAATCTTTCATATTATGAAACTTCATGAATTTTAGTTAAAACTTTGATCTAAATTTTTTTCCAAACCCTTTACCTTTTATATTTATTTATTGAAAAAAAATTATATACATGAGCTTTGTTCAAATTTGCAACTTTTGAACATCAGCTAAATCTTGATACCAATTGATATAAACATTATAAGCAATTTTTATTTTTTTAGTCAATTCATCAATAGAATGCATATTTAAACTTAAGTCAAACATTTTAGCATAGAAAAGGCAAAAAGGTTAAAAATTCATAAAATAAAATTCAATAATCTTTCAAGTTTCTATAATTTTTTACAATTAATTAAACCTATAATATCTATTTTCATTTATTAAACCTTTGTTAGAAGAAAAATAGTTAATTATTTTCGTTTAATTGAGTGAAAATTTAAATTTAAAATTTTAATTAAAAATATATATTTAAAAATTTAATTAATTTAAAATAAAATATTTAAAATTTAATTTATTGAAATAAAATATTTAAAATTTAAATAATTATTAAATTTTTTTTAGTACTCTTTTATGCTTTACAATAAAACTTAAAAAGAAAGTACCCATTTGCTTGAAAAAAAAAAAGGTACGGGGAAACTAGATCCCGCCACCAGACCATGTTTCGTCCCCCGCGCAAAATTTCTCTTAGCCATATTTTTCATTCATTAGAATTTCAATTCCTCGATCAACTTCTTTTCTTGCCATCCTTTTGTTTGTCTCGAAATTCATCCTAATAGTACAGCAGATTCCTTCTTTAAAATGGAAAATGGAAAATGGAAAATGGAAATTCGATCGCTTTAGAGAGGCTAAACATCCCGATATCTATAATCAGGTTCCTCTCGTCACTCTTTGCTGCGTTTGTTTCGACAAATTGAAGAGAACCTTTTGAATTCTCATTTATAATATTTGATTTTCAATCATGAACTATACAAATATCTCTCCAGTAATTTTTCTTGAATTCTTATATGTTAGCAGATTTGCAATATCAATGGGATTTTCAATTAATGGATTGTTTTTCCAGATATTAACCAGGTTCGTTTCTCTTCAACTATTTCGTAACCGGATTTTTTTGTAATTTTGTACATACTCTTTCGATTATTTACTGATTATTCTTTGAATTGTAACTCATAATCAAATTCTGATTATTTTTTAATTAATAAATATTTAAGTACAAAAAGCAAATTATATATCCTTAATAAAATGTTAAACATTTTAATTTAACTAGACATTTTCAAAGGAAAATACCAAGAGATCAGAAAAAAAAAAAAAAGCTAGTAATAACTGCATATAATATTACAGTGGGGAATAATTTATTTATTTTTGGTGGGGAATATTCTACTATGCTAACTCCTTCTGCAACTGAGGTTTCTGGTCACATCATGTCCTTTACTATAGCCTCTGACCCTTCAGGGAACCTGAAAGACAAATAGAATAGGTTATACTTTTAGGAAACGAATTTTATTGATTTTTTCATATAGCTCAACCGAAAACCTTGAAAGCAAATCCAAAAGTTATGGCAAAAACAAAAATGTTTAAGATCCAAAAGAAAAAAAAATTATCAGTTTAGGTAATAATGCTGCCAATAGCTCCAGATAGGTTGGAAAGCAATTGGTTTGGTTCTGTGTAAAGACAAATGCAAAAAATCATTATAATAATAAATATGTTGCAAGTGACTTAGAAAGAGGGTAGTCTTTTTTATATTCTCACATGGGAATTGTTTGAACTGGTAATGTGTAGGACCATTGAACATGTAATCCAAAGGGGTAAAGATTAGATCTCATATGGGCTTTGTTTGGCTCATAGACGGGATAAGTAGTTCCAAGGAGTTTTGGCAAGAAAAAAAAAATATAAATGGTAACTTGATAAGCAGTTAGGTGAACAGGATAGTTGCCTAATGCTCAGTCGGAAAAAGAAAATTGATGGACCGCAGAAAACACCGGCATTTTGAAAGGTTTGTATTCACCAATTTTCTGGATTATTCTATGGACCCACAAGAGGACTTCAGTTATCATCTAAGAGTATCATCTAAGAGTTCTTTTTTGGTCTGTGGAGCTGGAAGGAGATGGATGTACTTCATGGATATCGCATCCCATACATGAGTATTCTCAGAATCACATTTTCTTTAAACGCAAAACCATAAGCATTTGGCTATCAATAAAAGAATGAAAGCTGCATTGTTAGGAATGTGAAATCCATGCGGATGACAGGGCCCTTCAATTCTTGATTATCTGAAATGTTTGTGGATAATTTGCAAATGTTGACAATTGAATAGGGCTGTACATACTCATGGAAAGTGGTTTTGGTTGTGAGCTGATTATTTATTGGGTACATAAGTGTAGTGGTCCAAAGTAAGTAGCACATTACCGCTGTTTTGTACTTACAGCTTTAGTCGCTGCTTCCACTTGGATATGATGGATAGGGGTACCGGTCAGACTCAATGTCTTTGAGATCTCTGACTAGGATCTCATAGTGCAGCTTGACTTCCTCAGCTGACTTTCCACCCACTGCCTTTGCTATATTATGCCAGCGGTCAGGAGTGTCCTGGTCATATTTAGCCAGAGCCTTCTCGAACATTTTGTTTTGCTTAGCTGTCCAGGAGGAGCTAGAACTATGTGAAGAAGTTGGAGAATTGGATGCCATTATTGAAAATCTAAGTAGAACAACTGAAAACAGAGGATTTACTGACAGTCTCTGGGGAATGACAGGCTGAAAATTAAAGAACTAGGCCTGATTTTGAACGAAAGTGTGAATAAATTGAAACTTGCAAAAAGGATGGAAGGTAAAAGATGGGTTGTTTCTCTCAAAGAAGATTACTTGAAGTCAAGGGTTGGTATGTGAGAGATATCATGAAAGGTGAACCTTATAAGCAGGAGGAAAAAAGTGTGGTGGGGTTGAGCCAGTTTGGAGAATATATCCTCCAAAAGGGCTGAGAACAATATGACCCGTTCCTTAGGAACCACAAGATGGAGCAGCATGAGGAACAAGAAGTAAAAGAGAAGAAGCAGTATCAAAGGGCAGTCCCACTTTTTTTTAAACCAAACCGCATTCCTTGATTAGGTCAGTGGCAAGTGGGATTTGCCTTGTTATTTACTAGTCAGTGAAAAGAAATATCAGGTGAAGATACTATTAGCTGAGCAAACTCATCCTGTGTTGTGTTCTAATGATGCATCAATTAAGCTAACCAGTGGTTGCATTAGCCAAAGATAATGTAATCCATTTTCCTTTGGTATGAAAGGGATCATCAGGATAACAAAAACATGTGGTCAATAAAACTGGAGTTCTAACAGCTTAATTAGAGGTTTTTCTTGACAAGTTCAATAATTTACTTTGTCATAGTTTCTTTATTTCTTGACAAGCATGTGAAGAAATTTTCCACTCTTAGTTAGCCTTTGCTAACAGTTATAGCTGGCTTTCAGAAACATAGAGCTCATTGCCTTATTGTTCAGTCACCAAGTCAGCCAACCAACTTGTATGGCTCCCTCAGCTGGACTTATTATTGCTCCATGAGTGTGTGGACTAATCCAAGTAAGAACTCCTTATTTCTTAGTTGAGACGGTAATATAGCTCTAGAATTATTTGCAGTACCTAAAGCTGTATATGGGTAGTTTCATTATCCCACCAGTTCCTAGTAAAGATGGCAATAGGTAGTTTGCCTTTCGGATAAGGGGCAATCGGTCTCTCTTTGCTATGAATACTCTTTTCCCTTTTCTTTTTGCTTCCCCCTTCCCCTTTTTTTAGTGGGAGGGGGAGGGGTAGGGGAAGCGTTAGGAAGGGCAACTATCTTTAGCAGCATCTCAATGTTGATTTTGACATCAAGTTTTGTTTGGACTGAAAGTTCTAAAAATCAATATGATCTTGACTTTGTCCCAAAGGAAGTTTGAAAACCTTGAAGTAGCTGCCAAAGTTATGATTAATTTCTTGTGAAAGAAAGATTGACTTGCCTGGCTTATTAAACTGAAGAAGAGGGTGAATTTTAAGGTAATGATGTTGAGTTTTGAAGCAAAACTAAAGGTGCAGATTGATTCATAAGGTTTCCTTTTGGTGTTTCCGGTTACGCATAAAAATCATAATTGTTTAATGTGTTAATTAATTGAGTAATTTTAATTTACCTATGATCTTTCTGCTCAGGTCTCAGTTAAGTGCAACTTTTAGCTGCTTATTCCAGTTGCACTATAGGAACTAAGTCAAAATGAGATACAGTTCTTCTCTTAAATTAGACAAGAAATAGGGTCATAGGGCCACCACCAGCCAGCTGAATGAGGGTTTCTACATTGAGTCGTCTTTATTGTCATATATACCTTGAATAAGAGTAGCTTCTAATTGGTCAGCTGGTTAACCATCTATTAAAAATGAATCACTCTTATAGCAGCTTTTAACATGACTCTGTATCTTTCCAGCATGTACTGTTCTGCAGAATGCTGAACCCTCCAGCGACCTTGCTTGAGAGAAATTTCTCTAATCTAATTGCATCAAGTTCTTTTAAAAAAAAGCATCAAGTTCTTTAATATGTTTCTGTGTATTTAATCTTGTTGTTTGAATAGTGAGCCATAAATGCACCAGAATAAATAAGTGATTATCTGATGTTGTTGGAGAGAAAAAAAATTCCTAATGATGATAAAACAAAACCAGCATGAGGTTATCTAAGTAACAGAAAATTTGCTACCATAAAGCCAGGACTAGGCCTCCAAAAGGGATAGCTTAGATTTGAAGTCCATTCTTTTTTTTTAACCTGTGCTGATAGCAGTTCTGCAAATCTCATGTAATACATTAAATAATCAAGGTCAATAGTGATAGAAATTTATGTAGTTTGTCAAGGGGCATCCTACTGGACCGCTACCAAATCTTGGAAGATCTTCTGGCTGATAATCGTATCATTTGTGGCTTTTTTTAATCTTTTTCCCCTCTGTGGTACACAGATTGTGACCATTGATTCTTCCACTTGCTATTATTCCAACCAAGATATGGACTGAATTCTTGCTAAATGTAAATTACTGCTTGAAATGTAAGGCATATAGATTCTCAACCGAAAATAATATCTTGGCAGATACTAAGAACCTTGCTTGCCGACTGTGCAAGTGTTGGATGGACTTGCCTTTTGCAAGTGGAACTGTGATCATGTGTATGTTTAACTGCTAGAATCCTGAAATTGCTTCCAGACTAAAGGAAGAAGGTACGGAAAATTTTATCTGGTTTTTGTATTCTTTTGAAGTTATATGCTTTCTTGTTTAAATTCCTACCATAAGCAGATACATGTTGATTGTCTTTACTCCGCTCGTACTTTAACACGAGTAATTAGGCTTAGCTATAATTTCTCACCATATAACTCTGGCTACCCTGCCATCAATTGGATCTTTTCAGTCTCACTTGACCAAAATATTTCCTTCTATATTGGCAAGTGGCAACGAGGTTCAGGAACCTGTGGTTGTCAGCATATAGTATTTTTTTGTTACACAGAAAATGAGTAGTTGTTAATGTTGGCTAGTTGGCATCAAAGAATAACAGAAGCATAGTTTTGGGGGCTAATCATTGGATGACAGTGGCTTGGGTAAATGCAGAGCGAATATGCACTTATATTGTTTTTACTTAGATTCCATCCACATTCAAAGAACTGAAGATTTCTGCAATAGACCCGTATAGAAATTCAACCTGTAGGTTTATTAGTGGTTGATGACTTGGATTCTAATCTAACTTGTTAATGAGTCAATGTAGCAGTAAAGTTTAACCCTTCGGGCGAAGTTAATGAAAGTAAATCCATTACTTTTCCCTAATCTACATCTGCTAGCATAAGCATGGGGGCAACTTTTCTAGGGAATCTTTGAACAAACGAACAAAAGGTTTAGGACAATGTTGATAACAACTGAACCTGATTGAGGGAGCATAGGATCTTTCAATGATTTTTATTTGCGTTAGAAAGGGTATAAATTACAAAAGCATAGACTTGTAGTTATAGGGTTCATGCACCATTCCATTGCGCGTGCATGCATATTAGTCTATGTTAAAAGCTAGGAACCAATTCAAGGACCTAAGGTGATATTGATAATGGATCTGTGGCCTGGATCAGTTGGATAAGATGTTGAATCAATTATTGAGAGGCGGTTAGGTGGGAGACAGTACTGCTGTTGTCATCAAGACCATGATAAGCCCAACCTGCAGCAGTCTTCAGCCACTTATTCCTTGTGTCTGAACTTTCTTCCGTTACGGCCTCTGCCCTCCGGGGTTTACGTTTTGAGCCTGCGGGCTTAAATGCTTTTGGGCTCCTAAGATTTTGTTAAGCTGCAACAGTCTATTGGGCTGGCTATGGTCCAGCACTATAGGAGGATTTGCCGTGCACATAGGTTTTGTTGCTTGTATCTATCAACATCCGTGAATTGCTACTTGCAACTTGCATGTCGGATCATTTTCTCAACTGTCGGGCTATTGCACTAATTATTAATGGAATATGTGAAAATACTGGTAGGATCTACATAGCTCCATTTAGTCAATAATAATTTCTGATATAATAAAATTAAAATCAATCAATATATAATTTAGGCAATAAAAAAAAAAAAAAAAACACAAACTCTTTGGAGCAAGAGAAAAAATCACAGGACAAAATCTGAGTAAAATTCATTATGAGAAATAGTAAAATTATAATAGTATTATATTTTAAACTTTTTGTCCAAAGCTTAAAATTCACAGCAATTGAAATAATATAACATTTCTTTCGGTGCCTGGGACACTTTTTCTTCTTTCTTCTTTCGATGTCTAGAAAAAGAAAACTTGCTTACATCAAGAAAACCAGATTATTAATGTTTAAATGGTCAAAGAGTGGAGCTGGACCCATGGGGCATAACACCAACGTGAAGTAGTCGGTTGCATTTTATTCTGGTTAGTGTATTTCCATGTCAAATTTATATAATACGTGTTGGAGGTTTCTGATCATAAATTTAGAGTCCAATAGCATTGAAAGTAGAATAGAGAAACGTCAGATCAGCATTGCGAAATCCTAATAAAAATAATCTCAATTCTCAAACCGTTTACAGTGACAGAAAAGACACCGAAAACAAAGCAAAGCCACTGTAAGTAATTCAGGACGAAATGTGAACCAATTCTTTAGCCTTTGTAAGGCTTGAAATGCTCGCAGAATGCTTTTCATTTACTTTGACTTACCTGCTTTTTTTTTTTTTTCAAAAGTCATTGCTTCTTAGTTAAGTGTCTACCTATCGTAGAAAAATTCAAGACACATAGAATTAGTTCTTGGCCAGACATAAATTAGAAAGTTATGTTAGTACTTATAGTCTTTCTTTTTAGTTGACTTCAGTGATTTCTTGAAAACAATATTCACCTGATCTAATTGCTTAGTAATGAAAATTACCTTTCACTCTGTAAAACTCTTAAATAGCTTTTGGGTGTTTTTTATTGGAGTAAATCTATGTTTGAAAACTTCAAATCAAGATTATAGCTTACTTTTAGTAATGAATTTTATATATTTTTATCATATTATATATTTATTTTGTATTTAGCTTTTATCTTGTGTTTCTGTTTTTGCTATCAGTTTTGTACTATAAATACCATACAATACAATAAATAATTTTAAGTCTTTTTCCTTTCAATTCTGTTATTGTTAAAATTATTTTATGGTATCAAGAGCCAACATGCTTTCTTTTATTTTTTATTTTTTTTTATATTTTGTACACTTCCTTTTTCTTTTTATCCTTTGTTCATGGGTTGAAAAAGTGAAAGCATGAACGAAAATAAGCTCATCTTAAACAATTTAAATCATGTCAAGTAATTGTAGTTTGAAAAAAGATGGAATTAAATGAGAAAGGAAGTAGAGGATTACAAAACAAATTGTTTCGAGGCAATTTTATAGTGTAGAATAGTGTCATTGCACTCTTTTAAGAAAGAGATTGGAAATTCTAACTAGAACAACTCCTTAAGTGTAACAAAAGACAAGTGAAAGTTAAATTCTGTTCAAAATCTCAGTGCAGTAGATTTAAATTCAATTGGTGCAAGAAATGTAGCAAATCCATTGTTCTCATGGTTGGATTAAACAATGGGCGGTTTTCACCATGTCACTATTTGCCACTATAGTGAATTAATCCGACAGACAATTGCATGTTCTCCATGGAAAATAAACAAAGGCTCAAGCATCAATTTTCTCTTTTTCTGGGACCTCTACTATTTTTAAAGTGCAAAAAAAAAAAAATTTTCTACTAGTCAAAAATAGAGAATTGACAGGATTGTCTTTTCCCTGGCCCCTAGCCCATTGGAGCTGTTGTTTTTGGGAGCTTCTCCGATCAGATTCTTGATGGAGC